TGCGGGCATCTCCTCGGATGCCCCTTTGAAGGCAGGGGGCTGGGTACAGGCAGGGCGGTCACACCCAAGGGTGTCAGAGCCTGGGCTACTCTTTCAAGTTCTCCGGACTTCACAGGAACCGGCTTATCTGGGGCCAGGATTCGGATCAGAGCTCCATCTCAAGGGAGGCTCGCTGCCTGGCTCTACCCTGGCACCACCCCCCGCCCCCACCAAGCTTCCTCCCCTCATCTGCCATCAGCCTGGGGTCACCCTAAGGACACAGCCGCCTCCCCTCTGCCCCCAGACTGAGACCCCCCCAGGGCAGGGCCCACCCCACCTCCATGAACCTGGCATACAGCAGGAAACAAGCATTTGTTTCTGTCCCCTGGTCCCGGGAGTTGAAGGCTGTCCACTGACCTTCCCAGCTGCAACCAAGGGCAGTCTGGGGCCTGGCCCTTGATTCACATGGGGGGTAACCACAGAGAGGGCAGGGTCCACCCACAGGACCCACGTCCTTGCTGCTCCTCCGGGAGACCCCTGTCCCCATGCCAGGCACCCACCCCTGATGTGTTTGCACCCATGTGGTACTGGCAGCTTCATTTCTTCCAGGGGTCCGGGACCTCCCAGTGTGAACAGGCTGGACAAGAACCCACCAGGGGTCTGGGTGGGGTGTGACAGGTGCTCAAGTGTTGGGTGTGAGTTGGTAGGTGAGTCCTCTTCCTTATGTGAAAATAGGGCCCCTGTATGATCCACAAGCCCCCACCAGGGCCCCTCCTGCCCTAGGCTGCTCCCCGCTTCCCTGTTCTTTCCTGGCCCCTCCCTGCCAATGTCCATCTTCCATCAGTGAGGAGTTTAACAAGCGTCCATTTAAGACTAAGTTTGTGCTGGTGCCAGGAAGGGCTGGGGTGTGAGGAAACCCCATTTATAAGAAGCTCCCCCTGAACTCCCAGTCCTTAGACCTCTGCTGTCCCCCACTCCCAACGCATTCCCCATACCTGGGAAACCAGCTTTCTGCCCACTCTCACTGACCCCATGTCCAAGGACTCCTGAGGTACCCCTCAAGTCCTCAGCCTCCCCCTCCTCCCTCAAATCCTCTTTTCCCTCCATCTTGAGGCTCTATCCTTCCCATGTCCCCCACCTTGTGTGCCCCTCTACCTATGGAGAAATGTTAGGGCAGGAAGCAAGATTCCATCATGAACAAGGAAACGTGGGACACACCTGGGCGTGGACGTCTGCAAGGGCAGGCAGCAGGCAGGCGTGAGGGGGGTTGGGCATGAAGGCCAAGGGGTCAGAGAGTAGAATGGCAGCCATGGCCAAGGAGGGGCAGGAGGATGAGGTCCTGGAAGTGCTCGCCAAAACGCCACCAAAACCACTTTTATCAACTCAATTCTGACTCATACAGCATACTGGAAAGAGGAAAACTGCCCCATAGAATTTCTGAAGCTGTAAATCCTGGTGTGGTGCGATAGGATAAACACTGGACTACAAAGTCAATTTGAACTGTAAGGTTCAAATACGCCAGCCACTCCTTGCAAACCCTATTCAGGGTTGCTATGGGTCAGAACCGACTTGATGTCACTTAACAACAAATCTTTTCAGGAGCCGGCTGCCTCATCTTGCTCCCAAGAAGTGGCTGGTGGGTTCAAATCACCAGTCTTTCAGTTAACTGCCCAACACTGAACCCACTGAGCAACCAGTGTTCCTGGTGTCCACAGGAACAGTGGCAGGGGTCAGGCAGGAGCAGTCCAGGGATATAGGGGACGACAATAAGGAGAAGGGTAGGCAGTGAAGAGGTGAGTGAAGGAGTTATGGTGGAGGACCTCTGAGCTCCAGGGGCTGTGGTCAAGGGGTCCGTGAGGGGCCCTGGGAAGTCTGGACTCAAAAGTGACCGGGAGCTCCATGAGGGTGGGACCCTCTTTCTTGTCCTCTAGGGGTCACTCTGCCCAGCACATGTCCACAGAATGATGGGAAGCCTGCACATGCCCACTCGTCTCTCCTCCTAACCTTCAGGGTTGGGGGCAGCCTTGGGCCCCCTCTGTTCTGAGACACAACCCAGCCCCTGAGGCCCTGACTCTGCCAGCAGAACTACTCTGCCCACAGCCCGATGCTCACCCTACTCCCCAACCTGGCACCATAGGACCTGGAGCCTGGCAGAGGAGACTGGGCAAGGGGTGTGTCTAACCCCTCACAGAAGGCTGGGTCAGTGGGCAGGAGAGAGGGCCCAATGCAGGTCAGCAGGTCATTAGCCTTCACACCCACCAACTGCAGAGTGCCACCGGATGTCTTCCCAATACCTGTGGTCTTCCCGCCACCCAAGGTCTACCAGACACCAGAGGACACCACACTGCCCAAGGTCTCCCTTCTGCCCATGACCTCCTCACTGCCAGAGGCCTCCCAGCTGCCCACGGTCTCCCCGCTGCCTGAGTTCTCCCCGCCTCCCGAGGTCTTCCCACCACTCAAGGTCTCCCCGCAGCCTGGGGTCACCCTGTTGTCCACTGTCCATGATGACCACCTCTGATCTCCCCTGTCACCCACTCATCTTCCACCCCAGACAGAAGTTCATCTGGGTGTCTGTTCTGCAACCACCAGTCCTGTCTGGGCAACATCTGGTCGGTCTTTTACCAGCTGTAGGTGTTTGGAGACTCCCTTCTCCCACACTACAGTAGCTGGTCTCCCTGTCTCATGAACCCACTTCCATGGACAGCCCTAGGCAGGAGTGTTGACATTATCCACTGGCCTCGCCCTAAAGGACCACCCCAGTATGACTCTTCCAGGCCAGCTCCTGGCCCACCTCTAGGCCCCTACAGATGAAGGGAAGCAGTCAGATCCTGGGCGTCGCCCCCAGGAGACCTCTGGAGGTACAGGGACCGTGTCTTGAGCTGGGTGAGGGTCCCAATGGAGGGATTTAGGCCCAGTCCTGGGGGATTAGAAGAGACCCCATTCTGGTCAAGGTGGTGTCCCTATCTGCCAGGGAGAGTTAGAAACGATCTGGGCAGGTCACCCTAAAAGCACTCCTACGGAAACGCCACTGACGTCCTCTTCAGGCCCAAACACCATAATTCCAACACACAGTGACCCCGCAGGACAGGGAAGAACTACCCCCTAGGGTTTCCAATACTATCTTCACAGAGCCGATTGCCACATCATTCTTCCTCAGGTGTTTCACGATGACTCATTTCAAAGCCTCTGGAAGACTCTGCTACCCGAGAGGTGCCTGGACTTGGAGCCAGCAGCCTACCAGCCAGACCCTCTGAGATACTGGGGTTTCAGAAGAAGCCCCCAACACTGAGGCTGTTTAAAAGCCCACTGCCCTAATCACCCAGCGGCTTTTTCCTAGGAGGCCCTAGCATCGTAGTCTTGGGGTGAGCAGGCGGTCCCCCACCATGTGGGAAGCGTGGAGTCTGATCCTGTTTCTCCCTCTGTAGACTGGATCCTCGATGCACCGGTCACAGGGGTCATTGGGAGGGCCGCACTCACTCAGATGAGACTGGACAACAGGCGGGGGACAGGGCACTACTGAACCTCAGCCCCAGCCGGGGACCTCTACACTTTGCACCCTTTGTGCCTTGACTGATGGCTCAGAGGCAGGCTGACACCTGCAAACAGCCCCTGTGGGCCAAGGGGCACAGGGAGGTAATGTCTGGATGCTGGGTCCAGAGGAGGCAGGAGAGTAACAGGGGAACCAGAGGCAATACCGGGCCAGGCCAGGCGTACAGGGTGGGCACCCTTACCGACACCCCGTGCTATGGCTGCTCCCTGTAGATACCTGAGGCTCCAAAATCCTGAACCCTCCCATTTGAAGACCCGCCCTAGGGAGCCCACATCTGTCCCTTGGGACCCTCAGGCCGAGCAAGGGGAACTCCTAGGACCCTCCTCACAACTCCTGGTTCTGGAGTCCAAGACTGATACACAGGTCCACGTAGGCACACACATGGGCAGACATGTGGTATACAGATAGGCATGTGTATACCGGACGAGGCCCACACACAAGCACAAGTACATTCAAGTGGCAGACGTGTGTACTAGATGTGGACACATACATGCACACACGTGCTCCACGGGCAGGCACATGTACCCTGGAGAGCATGCTCATGTGTAGGCATGTGTAAATGCAGGTGACAGGCATGGCAGACACCAGTGCCAGGTGTGGACATATGAATGTAGAGACACATATACACGCGTGCACATAGGCATATGTGGGGACGAACGCACCCCAGGCAGAAACACCAGCTTCCAGAAAAAGGATGCACTCTTCTTTGTTTAACAAAATAAATTAAATAAACGCAACTGCAGCTTAAACTCTAGATAAAATTACAGAGGTTTGGGTCTGCCTGGGCAGTGGGAAGGTGGGTGGCCCGGCCCTGGTGAGGTGCAAACACACCCAGGTCCCTGCTGCCCACCCTCACTGTGCCATTCCCTCCTTTCATTATTATTAATATTATCTTCATTTCTTAAATATAAATATCAAAGGGGGAGGGGGTATCACCCCCAAGCCGGGCTCCAGGCTCTTAGGGCAGGGCCGGGGGCTCCAACTGCCCCTGCCCCGGCCCAGGGTCCTGCTGACTCCTGGTTACGCAGGATGGGGGCAACTACAATAGCCAACGGCCTGCTGAGGCTGGGCAGGGGCGCAGGTGAGCCTGGAGGGGTTTGGTTTGTAAAGTCAGGGTGCTTCTCAGATCCCCAGGCAGGCTGGGGGTGACCATAGCCTCCTAGGGACCCGGGGTGGGAGATTCCTTCATCTGCTCTGCAAAGTTCCAAAAGCTAACCTTCCACGAAGATGCCTGCCGTCTGTGTGTGCCTGTGTTCAGATGTATGCATCCCAATGAGCGGCCAGGTGTGCACATGCCTCAGTGGATGCCCAGGACTCTGTCTGCATCTCCTTGCCTGTGGATCCATCTTACTCTGTCTCTGACCCTCTACACCTGTCGATCTGTCTGCCCGTGGCCCCTGCATGCTCACACCATGGCACGCAGAGGACTGGGAGGGGCTGGCGTCCCTGTGGCAGCTGCGGCCTGCTGCCCCTAGCACTGATAATGTGTGTGCTGGTGGACTTTGCCCTCCATGTGCGAGTGTGTGTGTGTGTGCGTGTGTGTGTGTGTGTGCACGTCCGTGTACAGTTTGGGGTAGAGCTTGGGGCCAGCTGAGCCAGGGCCCAGCAGGTGCTGGGGGGGCCCATGCTCTTCGCACAGGGCCACCGCAGCCGCAGGCAGGTCCTTGTCCCCTCCTCGGTCACGGGCTGTCCCGGGTGGGCGATGGGCAGACACAGGCGGGGCGGGCACAGGCGTGCACGGTTTCTTCTTGGTTTGACAGAGCCACAGCAACACGGTGCCCAGGATGAAGACAGCCCCAGCTGGGATGCCGATGACAACAGGCCAGGGCAGGCTGGAGGTCGAGGACGAGGGGGCCACGGGTGGCCCTGGAGGCTTTGGGTCTGCAGAGGGGACAGAGGAAGGGGTTGGGAGGACGGGTCATCACAGGAGGCCCAGGGGTGCATCCACAGGAGTATGTGCAAGGGTCCCGGGGGGCGGGACCCACCTGGCAACACAGTAAGGAAGGCACTGCGGAAGCTGTAACCCATGGTGTTGGCGCCCAGGCATATGTACATGCCCGCGTCGTCCTGGCGGGCGCGAGCGATGAGCAGCTTGTTGAGGTAGGAGCCATCGGGCCGTGACCAAACCTCACCCGTGGGCAGCACCACGAACTTCTGGCCGCCCACGTCGATGGTGGAGTTGTAGCGGTCCTCAGCGCCATACTCCACGCGCTTCAACCACTGGATCACCGGCTTCACGTCGCTGCGCACCTTGCACTGGAAGGAGGTCGTTCCCCCGAAATCCACTGTCGTGTTCACGGGGTGCGTGCCAGTCAGCACGGGCTTGGAGCGCGTCCGCTCTGCGGAGGGGCAGCAGCATGTGGGCGGCATGTGGGAGCCCCTTCCCAGGCCCTATCGGTCACCTGCCTTCCCTCCCGCCAGCTGGCCAGCCTGCAACACTCACGGATCACATCCACCTTGTAGGTGGCGTTGATGGCGCCTGCCCGGTTCGACACGCGGCACGTGTATTTGCCGCTGTCCTCCGGCCGCAGGTTTTTGAGGCTCAGCGTCCATTTCTTCTTCTTGCTGTCTCCGGCCTCTGCACGGGTCAAGGCCTGGTCATCCTTCGTCCACGTGATGTCAGGCCTCGGGTGTCCACTGGCCACACACTTGAGCCGCACAGAGCTGCCCACGGGTCTGGCGATCACCCGGCGCCGCATCTTGGAGGGCTGAGTGAAGCGTGGCCGCGCTGCAGGGGTTCAATCACTGAGGTCAGTGGTGGCCCACCAGAGGGGTGCCCCAGGAATCACTCCCTCCAGCTATCCCAGGAGAGGCTAGTGCAGCTCACCCCACTGCTTGCTGGCTGGATCCTCTTGGCCACCCGCAGAGCCGTCGATTGCTGGGCCCACCTTCCTTGCACTGGTATCATCTGCCGAGAAGAAAGGATCCCGTGGGGGTTGGTGAATGCCTGAATGGGGGAGCCCCTTGCAGACCCCGGCCTTGCCCCGCCCCGGGCTCGTTCCCAGCTGGGAAAGGCTTTGAAGGGCAGCCGCAAGGCCTGCCCACAGCACAGAATCCTGGAGACAGCTGAGCAAAAGCCACCCAGCCCTCTCCCGGGGTGCAAGTGACCCCGACCGACTCGGGGAGGGGCCAGGGGTGGGCCGTCCCCTCCCACCCCGGCTCCAGGGGGTCTGCAGGGCCTGGGATATGAGGGGGGCCAGACCGCCAGCAGCTGCGGTAACTCTAGCCCACATCAAGGGGCCTGAGGCCGCGGTGAATTAACATGGTTCGAATACCACCCGGTCAATCTTCCCCTTTGAAAGACACGTGGGGGTCGGCCCATGGCCACGGTCTTCCCATTCCACAAACCAGAAAAGGCCTGCAGACGGTGGTGTTGAAAACGAGGCCCAGGCTGCCGCAGGTCCCACCCCTGGCTCTATGGGGGGCGCTCTGTGACATGGGTCCAGAACGACCACTTCTAGGCCTCCGTGGGGCTTGGGTGGGCCTCCTCTGGGGGCCCCCCCACACAGGAGCCCAGCCTAGGGGAGGGCAGGGCTCTGTGCCCTGGTATCAATGCGCCACAGACATATCTTAGGGTGACACCTGTCCTGTCCAGCTCCCGGGCTCGGGGGGCGGGAGAAAACAGAAAGGCTGTTGGCTGCTCAGCGGCCCCTCTGAACTCCGAAACTTGAGCCTCAAAGTCCCAGCCGCTGGCGAGGCACACCCTGCCAAAACCACCAGGCCCTGCCCTGCCCAACCGCCCGTGGCTCAAAGCAGGACCACCACCCTGGGAGTCCCACCACAGCTTGATACTGCTGCTCCCAGGTTGCCCTGGGGGCCCAGGTCAACACACACCAGTGGGAAGGTGGTGCTCAGGCGGAACAGGACAGCAAGGGGGGAAGGAGGGAGCAGGTCCCCAGGGACTGAACAGGTGAGGTGACCCAGGAAGGGCTGCCAGCTCAGTGGGCAGGTGTGCTCATTTAGGGCGTGGCCAAGGCCCAGCCCTGCTCCAGGTGAGAGGATTCCAAGTCATCAGCTGCCCAGGACATGGTCCAAGCCCTAGCTCGGCTCTACCCGCACCCAGGACCCCTGACCCAGCAGGGATGGACGCACTGACCCATGACAATGAGCGTGTAGTTGACACTGAGGCTGCCGAAGCCGTTGGTGGCCTTACACACATAGGTGCCGGCATCTTCTCTCTCCACTTCTTTGACCTTCAGCCCCTGGGGCAGGACGCGGAAACGGCTCCAGCCGCTGTGGATTGTGCGGCCATCCTTGGTCCACATGGTCAGTGGTGGTGGGTCTCCTTCCACGGGGCACTGCAGCCGAACCGTGCGGCCCAGCCTGGCCACCTGCCGTGGGACCACCTTGTCTGCCATCCTTGGGGGGCCTATGGTGCGGAGGGAGGCAGACAGCTTAGTCAGGGGAGGACCAGAGAAGGGGGAGCCCAGGATGTGTCAGTGGACACACGGCTTAGGGCAGGCAGTGAGCCCAGAGGAATGATTCACACAGTAGAGGGTCAAGGCATGGACACTTCTTCCCAGACCACTATAGCTGACATCACCCACACATCAGGCACTGAGCCCACATTCACTGAGACTCACTTCCTGCCAGGAAGCAGTCATATTCATAGAGCCCCACCGTGTACCAGGAGTCCTGGTGTGCCACTGTGGGCTAATGCACCAGAATGCATAGCTGTTTGATCTGCAAGGTCGGCAGTTCAAGCTCACCAGCTGCTCCTTAGAAACCCTATACAGGGTCGCTACGAGTTGGAACCGACTCAACGGCACTTAACAACAACTGTGTACCAGGTCCACACTCACAGAGCACCCACTGCGCGCCACACTCCCACTCACAGAGCACCCACTATGCACCAGGGTCTACATCTATGGGGCACCCACTGCACCCAGGTGCACATTGAGAGCATGTTCTGTACACCAGACCCACCTTCACTGAGTAACCCCTGCCTGCAAGGCCACGTTCACTTCACCCAGCGTCCACTGTGTGCTGGACCCCACTCGAGTACAGGCAGTCCTTCTCGGACCAGGGACTATTTACTACACTAGTAGGGTCTCTGTCCTGGCTCACCCCACCACTTGGAAGGAGGCCTTTTGGAAAAAAAGGAACAAGCCTGAGCCCCAAAGGGCTACATCCACGACTTAACACACCCTTTACAATCCTGTGTCAAGAAAAACGTCCTAAGGAGCATCGTACCCTGAGGTCAGAGGGTCAACAGGATGGTCAAGGCAGTCGATATGATGACCCTAAGAGACTGCCTGCCTGCTTGGGCACTCCGCAGCCAGGGGCCCAGTCTGGGACCCCCGAGGACGAAGCTCAACTGACCAACTGTGGACACATAACCAGTATGGTCCGGCAGGAATGTTCAAGGTGATCAGTACCAAGGGGCATAGGGGGGCAGATCCTGGGCCAATCCCTGACCCCCAGCCTCTGCGTGCCCCCTGGATGGGAATACACCCCCCACCATCCGCTACAGAATGGAAGATCAATGAGTCCCCTGAGACCAGGGAGGTGGCCTCAGGCACCCCGGCCGTAGCCCATCCTCTGGGCTCAGTTAGACTTTGCTCCTGGGGTGGGGGGCTCTCAGAGTGTGGGGATCCCTAGGATAGCCAACTGTGCAGCGGTGCTAGGTGACAGCGACCAGGCTGAGAAGCTATCGCGACCAGGCCTGACAGGAGGCAGCATGTGTTTTCAATAATCAGCTGGTATTTCTTCAACATGCAATTACCAGCTGGTTACATTACCCGCCTTGGCAGTCCTCAGCCACTGTGCTTCTGTGGGCTTGTTCAGAACCTGAAGCAGCAGCTTTTCCTTCACTATTTCCTGGATGGGGTCAGGCGGTAGGGAGACAGGGACCCTTCAGGGACACCCCTCCCAGGTGCCCCACCTCAATTCCATCCTAAGGGCAGTGAGGTGGGGAAGGAAGTCAGCCCCACTCGGATGGAGTAGCTGGAGGAGGTGAGGTCTCAGGGGCAGGGATTCCTTTGGGGATCTGAATAGGGTCTGGAGTCTCCAGGTTTCTGGGCTGTGATTTCAGCAGGTGTCAGCCCATCCCCCTGCTGGGGGTGGGGTGGGGGGGCTGGCTGGGTCTCCCAGAAACCACAGAAGGACGAGACCGGGGTTCTCACACATGCCTGCCCACATGCCCTCCTGAAACAAAGTCTGCTCCCCACCATCTACTGGGGACCCCTCTTCTCTGCACCCACATCTGTCTCCCCACTCGGCCTTGTGGCTGGCCCCTGGTCAGTCCAGGTTAAGAGATCATCTCTGTCTACCCCTGCCAGCTCCTCAGCAGTCTCGCCATCTGTGAAGGGACCTGAGAGGGGGTGTGGGAGCAGAGGTGTCTACACAGGTGTGAGGACACAGGGGGGAGGGACAGCACCCCCCAACCCCCGAGCTCTCAGTGCAGCCAGGGGCCTCTCGGGACAGCCCATGTCCAGCCCTCCCAAGGCCCGGCCCCATTCCCAGGCAATCCCAGTCCACCACCTGTTGCTGCCTGAAATTCCACCATCACGAAGGCCAGTCCTGCAGGACACCCAGGATCAGTGAAGGCCCCACCCCAGGGAGAGGAGGGGAGGCCCCGACCATCCCTCGTCCATGCAGGCCTCACGAGGAGACACCTGGCATAGCCTGGTTCACACACACACCTGTCCTGCCGGTCTAAGGGGCTCACTCATTCCCAACCCCACCCAGGAGATGTACAACTGGGAGGTCTCCGAGGGCCGAGTGGGCTGGCCCAACACCCCCAACTAAGCAGCCCGGCTGTCAGAGGGGGAGGAAGGGGACATGAGGAAGTGGGGGACAGGAGAGCAGGAACAGATAGAGAGGTGGGGGCACCAGCCGAGTCCAAGAAGAGAGAGACAGAGCCAAGTGGTCTCCAAAGGTCCCCAGGGCCGCACACAGCCTGAGGACCAGCCTGTGGCGGCAGCCAGGGGCCCCAGCTGGAGCCAGCCTTATCCTAAAGCAAACAGCCTCCCCTCCCCCACAGTCAGCACCCCCACCTGGGCCCGGGCTGTGGCCAGGGCTGCTGCAGCTCCACTGGACGCCAGTGCACAGCCAGGACCCCACTCCCGGCGGGAGGCCCAGCCCCCCTAGACTTCCCGGGAATTTTGGCCGCCACTTTGGCCGCCATGGTTCTATATTTAGCTGGGGAAACACAAGCCCCATTGTTCCACCTGGAAGGGGCCTTCAGCCCACTGAGCCAGGGAGAAACTGAGGCAGGTGTCTGCAGGACAGGGGAGGGAAGAGCAGGGCCCTCACTCCAGCCTGGGGGGGATGCGGACAGCCCAAGTGGGAAGCAGCTTCCGGGCAGGGTCTGCAAGGCCAAAGGCAGTTTCTGGGGTCCGCCTCCACAGCCCCTTCCTCCAGAAAATCCCCAATGCTGCACAAGCCCAAGTCCACACCACACAAGGGGAAACTGAGGCTGGGGCAGATCTAATTCCGACATCTTAGGGTGGCTGCTGCCCCCTCCCCTCTCCTCCCGCCTCCTCATTGGCCCAGCTGTAAAAACATAGCCAGGAATGGGGGTCGGGGAGGAGGACTGACAGCAGTGAAAAGTGAGGAACAGGGGGCAACAGCTCCAGCTCGGGCGGACCCCGAGGGGCATCCAATGCACTGACCCAACACAAACACCAGCGCTGGGCACACAGGGCCACAAGAAGCGCCCAGACCCTCCCATAGCCAGCAGAGCTGGGACTACAAGCAGGTGAGATCTGTCAGCCCAAGGAGCCCAAGGAAGGGGCCATGGGGCAAGAGACCTGGGATGGGGAAGGTGACAAGCAAGTAGCTGGGGGGCATGGCTACAGCCCCCACCTTGAGGACCCTCTCTCAGCCGCCATCGGATGCTGTGGATACGTTGTACATGTGGACCTTTGCGCTGCCGGTCCCGTCTCTGCGTCCTGCAGCATCCAAACTGTGCCCCAGGCTTCTCTCCACCTGCCCTTGGCCCCCTCCCCAACTGGGAGCAGCTCCAGGGCAGTACTGGATGAAAGGCAAAGGTGATGGGTCAGCCCAAAGCAGGCACTGCGTCTGGCCTCCCCTCCGACCCTCCAGGCCGACTTGGGAGGAGCATGAGGGGGGTGAGGGGTGGCTGAGGCAGGGACAAGAGCTAAGAGCTTCCACAGACCATGGTCCTCTTGTCAGACTGCGTAGTATCCCAAATGCCAGGACATGCGCACGCTCACACACACACACACACACACACACACACACACACACACACACACGGCAGGTCCTGAGACACAGGTCAGAAAGACCTAGGGCAGGTTTTCAATGTCATTCAGGTGACAAGCCCCTCCCAGTCCCTCCACAAGCAGTCCCAGCCTGGACAGAGCCAGAGCTCCATACTGATGGGGATGGATGTCAGGGAAGACTTTGGGTCTTGAATGCACACCCCCATGTGGTCGGGGGTGGCCACAGAGCCAGGGTCAAGGGCCCATTAGAGAAGAAGGACCAGCCCCCCATATCTGTGTAATGGAAGAGTCAAGTCAGACGCTGCTCCTCAGCAGCCCACCCTCCTCCGAGCCTCATGCACCTACTATCAGGGCCCCCTGAAGCCTGAGAAGGGAAAGGGTGCTGGGAAGCAGCTTTGGCCTAACTAGGCTCCCATGTTGACAGAGGCTGAAGGTCACAGGAGCCACCTGGTCAACTCATCTGAGTCAGTTCACCTCCAGGGGACCCCACACAGCCGAAGAATTTCCTAAAAAGATTAAATGGCCTAGGATGGGGGCTCAAAATGACAGTGTGGTGCATGTTGGCAGAAGGGCAAGAGGGAGGAGGGTTCCCAGGGCATCCAGCACCATGCAGGCAGGTGGGCCATGCTCTGCTATGGGGCAGGAGAATCAACTGAAGGGGTAGACAGCCTGCTATGGCACTATGGGATAAGCACTAGATCTCAAGGTGGGGCTGAACCATCAGGTTGGTGGTTCAAACTCACCTGTCGACCCTTAGAAACCCAGAGGGTCACTACGAGTCGGAACCAACTCATTGACACTTAACAAGACAACACCGTGAATGAGGGAGGCCCAGGTGTTGACCTCAAAGGTAGGCAGTCTTCCAGGTGCTGAGTCTCCCACTAACAGCATCCCTGGTCCCCATGGTAACACCCTGAGTCTCCCACTA